GGCAGGAGGCAGCCGATCCATGACTCTCTCATCATTGATGTTTCTCTCTCCCTCTCCCTCTCTCTGAAATCAATAAAAACATATAAAAAAGATTTAAAATAATAAAAACCACAATCACCACACTGTTGTCCATGTCCATGAGTACTCTCTTTTTTTTCTTTTTCACTCAATCCCTCCACACCCCAACCCCTCCTCCCACCAGAGCTGTCAGCCTGCTCTCTCTCCGAGCCTGTCTCTATTTTGCTTGTTGGTTCAGTTTGTTCATGAGATTTCAGATACGAGTGGAATCATAGGGGACTTGTCTTTCTCTGACTGGCTTATTTCACTTAGCATCATGTTCTCCAGGTCTGTCCCTGCTGTCACGAAGGGTAAAACTTTCTAGAGAGTTCATAGATTTTATAATTGAGCTCCGGAATTTTCCTTGCAAGCAGGGCAGGCGGGAGCCGTGGTGTCAGCAGTGTGGCCTTGAGCCTGCTGTGTGCTGCGCTGAAAGCAGCCCTGGCTTTGGTCTGGCCCAGCGGACCCGAGTGTGGCCGTGCCAGACGCTTAGAGAACGACGTTCCCCTTCGTGGTTCCTCGTTCGGGCCTGCAGTGTTGCATGCAAGGCAGAGAAGAGAAAGGCTGCTTTCTCTTTGTTTCAAGAACTTGTTTATAGAGTGACTCTGGAGTCTTGACAGTGGCAAATCCTGAGATTCAAGGTGGGGAACCAAAAAAGAGAAAGCTCAATTTCCTGATCAAGTACCTGCACAGTATCGATTAACAAAATGTAAAGTTGGATAAAAAAGTAAAATATCACCAAATAAGCTAAAATGTCTTTAAGAGCTGGGTCTCTAATCAGGGAGGAAAAAGAAATTGGTCCAAAAGCTGTGAGTAAAATATTCATGAATAGTTTATGAGCCAGAAATGGACGTCTCAGCATTGTTATTCTTTCCAGAAAAACAAAACAGAACAAACATAATGAAAAGGAATATGAAATATGTCACTATGAACTGATTAATAACTTGATTCACAAACTGTCTCAACTCAAAACACCAGCATAGATGTAAAGAGAATCCTTTCTGGCCACTTTTCAAAATGTTCAAGACCCGGAATTCCGTTGGTCCCCTGTCGCCGTAACAAGGTGAAAATATTGGTGGCAGATAGCTGACATGTCACTTGCTGGATCAACGTGGGGAATCTTATTTTCTATAAGATTTGGTTGTATGTGTTTTTCCTTCTAGAAAAGTCAGCATGAGTTCCAACTAACTCAATGAGGGAAACATCACACAAATTGTCTGTGGCAGTTTACCTTGTAATTCTTGAACAAACCTTAACCATTTTTCCCCAGGGCAGCCTATCATCTAGAAAAATAAAGAAGGGAAAAAAAAACTTTATTGTTTTTCTCATCAGTATATCAATGAACTGAAAAATATCTCCCTGGAGGAAACACTTTCAAGATTAACAAGAAATCCAAGCATTCTGCAATTCTCCAAACCCTGAAATGTTTTGTTTTTTTTTTTGAAACTAGCTTTAAAAGAACCAAAGCAAATATTAGTGAGAATTCCATCTTTTATTTACATGGTGCCAAATCTGATCAGGGGAGTCCACTTCATAGCTACTGCTTTCGTGCTCTGTACTCCTAATGTCTCAGTGGAAAGGCAGATGCTCCTCTGAGCAGGTGAAGGGCTTGAAGCAGAGGGTGGAAGACACTATTCTTCATCCAACTCAAAACGAGCTAGAATCTCACATTTCTCACATTGTTCGTAATCTCTCAGACGCGATTCTCACCACAGGGCTTGGCGAGACCTCGTGTGAGCAATTGACGTGTCTGGTTATACATCGGGTCTTGTTAACGAGTCCTTTCAAAGGACTTGCCTTCCCAGGTAAGGCCCACCCGTCACTCTTTCCCGAAGAGAATCCTGATTGCATGTGTATGTCTGTGAGTGGGGGTGGAATAGAAATAGATTTTCTACTTAATGATAGAAGAAGTGTATACTTGTAATCAAACAGTAGAGAGATGTATAAAGTAAAAGGAGAACATTACTCTTCCTGACCCATCCTGGCTCCCAGCAGTTAACAATGTAGTGAGTATCCTTCCGGACCTTTTTCCTGGTGTGCAAACCTATGTTGTCTATATATCATTACGTTAAACCATTGGTTCTCAACTGGGGGAAATGTTATCCCCCCACTCCCACCCCCAGGGGACCTTTGGCAACGTCCGGAAACATTGTTGGTTATCATTGCAGGGGAGGGTGCTACTCCCATCATCTCGAGGGGAGACGCCAGGGGTGCTGCGAGATATCCCACAATGCACAGGGCGGCCCCCACAACAGAGTTATCTGGCCCAAATGTCAGTCATGCCGAGGTCGAGAACCCTTGTTTTAAACAGAAGTGGATTAAAGCATAATACAGTTTTCAGCTTGTTTTCAGTGCCTGTATCATGGATGCTTTTTCCAGGTTAGTCCACGCTGGTCCACCTCATTTGAAATAATAGCTGCATATTCCACGGTGTGAACGTAGATACAATCACATATTCCTCCAGTTCCTTAAGATGGACTGGTTATCATGCTTGATTTTTTACTATTGTGAAGAGAGCTGCAATGACTACCTAACGTATCTTTCTTGGTTTACATGTAGAGGTATTTTTGTAAGATAAATTCGTAGCTGCTGAACTGTTAGTTCAAAGGGTATGGATATTGAAACTTTTGAGAGCTGTTCCCAAAAGTACCACTGAGACGTTTTACCAATTTTCAAAATAAGCTGTTACAAACAGCAGTCCTTGAAATAAGAATTGGAAGTTGCATTTCAGAAACTAGGGTCAGGCTGGAAGTGGATTGGTTTTCAAAGGAATTCCATGGGTCTGAGGGGAGATTCCTTGCTGGGACTTTCCGTGCACCAGGGGGTCCTGGTTCGGCTCCCAATCAGGGCACATGCCGGAGCTGTGGGCTCGATCCCTAGTAGGGGGCGTGCGGGAGGCAGCCGATTGATGTTTCTCTCTCATCGATGTTTCTGTCTCTCTCTCCCTTTCCCTGCCTCTCTCTCAAAAAAATCAATAAAAACATATTTTTTTAAAAAGAATAAGAAACAATCAATGTTCAGTTGGTGAGAGGATGTGAGAGCTGCAATTACAGTATTTAAATTGCAATGCTCAGGCTCCCCCTTAATTGTTTCCCAAGAAAGAACAGCTTTCCCCTGCTCCCA